AAAGCCTTGGAATGGTTGATGTGCCCTAATCCAGTATTTTATTATTGTTTTGCTATGAGATTTCTAGGAGCCTTAAAATTTTTTAAAATTATGAAATACATCTTACCTATGAAAAGATGTATAAAATAATTCATAAAGAATAATTATAAAATGAACACTTAGGACTTCCTTGCCTCGACTTCCAAGCTTTAAGTAAAGGGACTGCCCAATATGCCACTCCCTGTGTCCTTCTATTCCCCGCCTGCTGTGATTGAGGAGTTATGTTATCCCAATCAGTGGAGAAAGAATGGTAGCTGGAATCAGAGAGAGGAAGGTTGATTCTTCTTTGCTACCTCAGAAGATAGTACCTGAGGAGTAGAAGGATTTCTGCTCCATTTTTCTGGTTGCTGTAGATAGTGAGTCTCAAAAATAATGGTACATAGTGTCCACCAACTTTACGCCAATTTCCTGGGTAAGCATTGCAAGAGTGTTCTCAATCCAGATTAACCTACGCTGAATTTGGTAGAAATTCTGCCTTGATGCTTGCAAATGACTGACTGTAATCCTTGCTTTGTAGAATTGTTTTGAAATGGAAACTCCATTTCCAATACAATGAATTTCCCGCATCTTCTCTTTCTCTATGTGTCTTCTAGTATTTGTAAAAAGTTAGAAGAAAAAAAAGGAAGCCACATTAGAGGTTTGCGTCCACTGCTACTTGCAGAGTCCACTGTGCCAACATGAAAAATAAAACTAATAAAAGAAAAATGTAGTTTGAAGATGAAAGTATCTTGGACATCCAACCAAGAATGTATACTGACCTTCCAGCAGAGGAGAAATAAAAACCATGCTCTTTAGAGGGGGAAACCCCCACTTTTTATAGAAAAGACTGCTAATGAGATCATGCAGTAACTAGACTTTTAAATTCTAATATTTAAAATTTTTATCAGACTTTGGCTTTATTCAAAACCATTTGAACCAGTTAAGAAAAGGAAAATTAGCTTTTACGCTTAATTCTAAATGTCAGGTTAAAATCTCCAAGACATGCTTATAAAACGCATTTTAATTAAGCCAGTAATTATATATATTTGTATCCTCTTGCGTATATATTTTTTGGTAACGTAAAAATAGAAACAAAAGAAAACAGAAAATCAATTTCTGAAATATTTTAGCTACCAGGGACCTTTATGGAAACCACTATGAAAAATAAGAATTTATTTCCAAGAGTACTTTTCACAAATTATGCATATTTCAATGAAAATGATTAAAGGTAAAGTATACATACCACACTGGCTTGACAGAAGTCGTCAAGAGACTAGGAAATGCATTTGAGTTTAGCATTTAGAGAAATTTAGAAAAGAAGAACCCAGATACTAAACTCATCGTCTTGGTTGTTGTTGCTTTTTGTTTTTCTTCATTTGAGGCAGAATTCTTCTCGAAGATGTCTTATGGAGAATCCTACTACACGAAAGAGGTGAGAGCACGGCTGCTCTGATCGGAGGCCCGGGCTGAGCTCAAGCTGCTCATCCTTCTCACTGTTCTTCTGTAGCTCTCCTGCTGCCAGCTCCTGGGAGGCCTCTGCTTTACTGGAATCCTGTGAAAAGTCCTGATTTAGCCCAGCTTTTTGACTTTGCAGTTGTGGACACCTAGGCACACAGCTAATTAATGGATGGGCTGGGACCAGATTGCAGGTCTTCCAATTCCTAGACCAGATTATTGTCTACCATATCATGCTGCCTGTTTTTAGTTCCTGAAATTAGTTCCAGACATGAAAATCTTTTCCTTTTAACCAAGTAGTGGACATTCTTTGACATCTATATTAACGAGAGCTACTGTATGAAATACATCTGTGGACTACATAGTTCCAAATACAAACTAATTTTTGGAAGTGGATTATTATGTTTTCCTGTTGTCTCTAATTATGAGTTTAGAGATATGTGGTTCTGAAAAATTCCTTCAGTAGACAAGGTTGAAAATATTTAGTTGTAAAAATGGTGACCAGCTTCCAGCAAAGTCAAACTAGTGGGTGTTGTTGCCAGAACCCTGCCCCCCACAACCCCCCACTGGTGAGCTCCCTCCCTCAGTGCTTCTCTGCCCTTTGTTAATGGGAACACCTACTCTTGAAGCACCAGCATTCTTCAGGCTGCAAGGTGTTCTCCTGTACTGAGAGATTCCCAGTCTCACATGAAACTTGGATTGCTTCTGCTCAAGCTTAGAAGCCCATACCCTACCTAACAGAAAAATCTCACGTCTCTCCCACACCCCTGTTGTTTCTATGTGCCCTACCTGGTAAAGAGTCTGTCTTTTGCATATTCCCTCCTGCCAAGAAGATTCTATTGAGCTTTACTTCTTGGGTTAGGTTTTTAAAAAGATATGCATACTTTATATAAATATGAAAAATAATAGTTCATATGTTTTTACAAATCATATCCCCTAATTCTGATTTGTTGCTTCCTGAGGAGAGTGTGGGCATGTGGACTCTTCACTGATGGTCACTGAAGTAGATACTCATGTTTTAATTTTTTTTCTTGGTTTTCAAAATGTCTCATTCTGACAAAACAAAACCTATCAAGATTTGTTATTAGCTAAAATATGAAATGTAAATTAAAAATTCACTCTGTCAGTTCCAAATGAAATTTGACATATTAAGTTTACTGTTAAGATGTGTTACCTGGGCTCAATAACACATTTTTTAAATTGCTTTACCTTTTTCTTTTCTTGCTTTCTACCCATTCATGAACATCTATATTTAATCATTATCTACATTTTTCATCCAGCAGTAGAATTTAGTCATGGATTAATCGTTAAGCAACCTTGACTAACGTGATTCACTTTGTGCTGTGAGAAGGCTGTGCCAGCAAAAGTGTGATTTTCTTATCAAGAGAGCTGGGAAGGGAGCTACCAGAGGCTATCAGGGTAATAAAAAGTGACATATTGGTGTCACTTATGAGATCATATTTTTTCAAAATCATTTAGCCTTTCTATGTGTAAAGAGATACAGATTTTGTTTCCAAATTGAGTGTGCAAGAAATGTCTATTTTATTTTCTCTAAATCAAATTGAGCCTGCTTCACACCCCATCGGGTCTGGGAGATGGAAGTTAAATTTTAGTCATCCCTGGTGCTTTGCACTCTCTCTCAGAAGGACCATGTAAAGGGTCATATGCAGAGAGAATTTCTCTGGTCTCCAGTGCAGATGGGTTACCATGACTACTGTCCAAGCCAGCACGGCCCCTTATGGTCAGGATGCTTTGCAGCACTTCTGGGGACAGGAATCTTGCTAAGGCTGGGAGCCCTAGGCCTGGGATCCAACCTCCCTGGGTGCACCACAGCTGCTCCCCTCTCAGGTTTAGCCATCCCCTAGAGGTGCTGCTGGGGAGAAAGGTGCAGGTCTCCATCTCCTGGGAAATCCACAGCCTTTGGTCTCTTTCGAAAGTCTTGGATAATCTCCTTGTCTTCTTGGCTCTTGCCATTTCTGCTTCTTTTACTCGTTAGAAGGCCTAGTGTTTGTCTTTCTCCTTGACTCACAGCATAATGCCTTCTTTAAAATGAAACCTTGGAAGAAAAGTTGTCTTCAGGGGATGTGGCATCAAAACCCTCCCTGAGGTAAGGGAACACAAAGACTTGTCTACTTTTCCTGAACCAGGAGTGGGGAAGTACAAGCAGAGCAAAACTCAAAGGAATATCACAATAGATTCTCCTGTATAATATCTGACACATATAACACTTAACATGATGATGGGATTAATAGTGAAGTTCTTTATTCTAAGTATATTTGGAAAGTTAAAAAAAAGTCTTTGTCATTCCCTAATGTATTATCTTATATGTATTTGATATCAATATTATCATCATCTATACAATTAACCTTTCAAGTGCACAAAGTCAGTCCACCCTAATCTCCTTCTCTCAGTTCTAATCCTGCAGCAGGTAGAGGAGCGGGGCCTGAATTCCTTCTCCATGCCATGGAGGGTAGCGATGGAGATTTGTTCCATAGACAGAACGGTGGTTTCTAACCTCTATTCCCAAGGGATTTGAAATTGTCCAAGGAGGACAAGATGCAGGAGGGAAATTGACACCAAGTGTGCAGGACTCCAGGGACCCCCATCCCTATGTCAGTCATACCAGTTGTGCTTTTTCACTTGCTTTATGTATTAATTCTATGTAAAATTTTGTTTTAATGAAGGATTCCCTTATAAAAATTTGAAAATCATTGAAAGATATATGCAAGTATATACCTACAACATTTGAAATTCTCCAGTATTTTGAGTTAAAGGTCTTCTCTTTTCAAAGTAGAATTCTATGATATAAAAATGAACCTTCCCCTTAAATACTCTGTTGATTAATTATCATTTACATGTGAAAATTCCCAAATGATAGGTGAAGTTTGGGGGTAGATGATTTATTTAGACTCTGAATTCCTTTTCTGGTTAATAGGACATCCATCATGCATGGTTGTTGATCAAACACTTGCTGCTTGCTGTCCTGAAATTGTGGGTTCTTATCAGTTGCCATCACTCATCTGTTCACTATGCAGAATAATGTAGTTCATAGAAAGCATGAAGTAGCTCCAATCTAAGTATGGAATCATGTTCTCATTTAACCAGAATTTTAAAAATTAACTCTTTATTGATATTATTTTATGATTATACTGATATCATATACATTTATATCTAACTACTGGTTCTTTTTGTTGTTGTTATTAAACAAATTACTCAACTTTAATAAATTATCATTCAGAAAGTTTTATTTATTTATTTATTTATTTATTGAGGAAGATTAGCCCTGAGCTAACATCTGCCACCAATCCTCCTCTTTTTTGCTGAGGAAGACTGGGCCTGAGCTAACATCCATGCCCATCTTCCTCTACTTTATAGCATGGCTTGACAAGCAGTGAGTAGGTCTGCACCTGGGATCCAAACTGGTGAACCCTGGGCCACCGAAGCAGAATGTGAGAACTTAACTGCTGTGCCACTGGGCCGGCCCCCAGAAGGTTTTAGAATTCAATTCAGACAACAGTACCTAAAAATAATGTTTAAACGGTTAACTTTATTATTTTATGTCTAGCCAAATAACATGTATGCTATAATATTCATTACAATTAAAGATTCCATGAGACAAGTTTAAATATTTGTATTAAATATTTTGTAATGACATTTTTTATTTTAGGATACTAAATTTTTGCTTGTTAGAAACATAGTTGAGCAAAAGTATTTCAGTGTAAGACATTTTTAGTAACATATACAATGTTGTAGCTTTCAGAACAGAAATTTCCTTTTTTCACCCTACTCTGCTACTATTATTCTAGTATCTAGAGTTAATAGTATATAATGTCTATTATGCATTATAAGCAGTACAATTTTTATTTCTCTTCTATTAGTATCGAACACTAAAATTAGAGTATTCAAGTTTAGAAATGGTTTTTTCATTAGAAAAGTTCGTGCGGTCAATGCGAGAGCTAGGACTTCCAACCTTGCTCAGCCAGGACTTCCTACAAAAATAAAGAAATAAATAAAAATTAGCATATAAAGTATATATGGACTAGCTAAAATGATCCCACAATAGGTAACAATGCAAGTTTATTTTTACTAAGTAACTTTTGCATATAATGTGAAATATAAATTTTTACATTGTATGTATTACATATATATCAGAATACCACAGAATTTAATATATAATTAAATATGGACAAATAAAAGATAATATCAAATTAAGCACAGTCAACACTTAATAATTTCACATTGGGGTTATTCCCCACCCCCCTTAAAACATTCAAGGTCATTATTACCTAGCTCTTGTATGCAAAAGGTTAAAAGTACTTTTACAAAGAGCTAAGTAATAAAAGCACTTCACCATTGCTTTTTCTCATTACCCAGCACATGGTAGATGTTTTACATATATATATATGCAGAATGAGAGAGAGAAAGAATGAGAGTAAATAAAGAATAAATGTGATTTTCCGTAAACATTAAAATGAAATTAAGTGAACAGTTTTTCTTATCTATTCAAAAAACATTTCTTAACACATATATTAGCAATGTGACTGCATTAAAGGGACAAGTTAAATGTTCTGAAACCACTTTTCTGGTTACATGGTGCAATGGTTTTTCTTAATCTATTAGCAATATCCATGTAGCTAATCTATGCATTTGGGCACTTACCTGAGATGTTTCCTGTCTAATTCAGGTTTATTGTAATATTGCTGACACCTCATGTAATACTGTTAAGGATTTTCCAGCATCTTTCTACCTATTAATAATTAGTCGAGATGACAGATTAAGTGGAACTACAGGTTAATAATATGAGGCCGTTTTATACAAGTGATGGCTGTTCTGCACGCTGTCGCTGTAGAAACACCCTAAGAGTTTCCGCATATCCTCAAAGTTCTTTCAGGTTGTGAAGCTAGTGCTGTAGACAGCTGTGCAATATCACATGTAATAATCCCATATAACCTTGAATTAAAAATGTTTTCTAGGCTAAAGTCTTCTAAATAGCTGAAAATTACTCTTAATCAAGCTAGAGAAGAATTCCAATGATTCCATTGTGTTAATCAAAGCTTTCTTTGTCATATTTGTGACAGTTTTACTGGGTAAGGTGAATTTTCACTTTTCTGCTTTTTCAGAAGCTAAGCCATGAGTACAGTAACATGTTTTATTTTTTTCAACCCATTTAGTTGAAATCTTAAAAATGGAAATTGCATGTGTTGAAGAACAAAATTCAATTATGAAAAGGAGCTGATGGCTTCAATTTTACTAGTCAAATCTCCTTGAAACCTTCTAGAAAACAAAGGCCAGAAATAATAAAAACTAACATTTATTGAGCCCCAACTATTTGCTCAGCACTGTGCTTAGTTCTTTACATAGACTGTTTTCTTTAATCCACACATTAACCCTGTAAGTTATAGTCAGTTATTACTCCTAAGTCATTGATGAGGAAAGAGAGAACAGAAGAGTTAGGTAACTTGCCCAGCATAGAAGCAGTGGTGGTGGTGACAAGTGATCAGATTCTGGATATATTTTGAAGGTATAGTCACTAGATTTGCTGACAGATTGGATGTGGGTGTGAGAAAAAGAGAAGACTGAAGGATGACTCCAGGGTTTTTCATTTGAAAAACTACTTGGACAGGGTTTTCATTTACTGAAATGGAGAGACTGTGAGAAGAGCAGATTTGGGGGAAAGATCAGAAGTTCACTTTTGGAATGTTATGTTTGAGATGTCTATTAAACATCTAAATGAGGTGTTGAGTAGGCAGTTGGATCTATGAATCTGGCTGGAAGAGATAAAATTTGAAATTTGCTTGCAGATAGACAGTATTGAAAGCCATGAGATTAGATGGGATCACCAAGAAAATGAATATAGATAGAAAAGGGAAGAGGTCCAAGGACGGTGCCTTATGGCACCACAATATTAAGAGCTCAGGAAGCAGAGGAAGAACCAGCAAAGGAGGAGAAGAAAGCATCCAGTGAGGCAGGAGAAAAACTGGAAGAACATTATGTCCTGGGAGTCAAATGAAGCGCTCTGGGAGCGGGAAGGGATCAGCCTGGTCACTACTGCTGGCAGGTCAAGTAAGGTGAGGACTGAGAAATGACCATTGTGTTTAGCAACACAGAGGTCACAATGACCTTGACAAGAGGAGTTTTGGTGGAATGAAAGCCATATTTGAATGGGCTCAAGAGAGAACGAGAAGAGAGGAATTGGAACCAGTGAATCCAGAACTAGGACTAGTGGGCATAGGAGCTGCAATGACTAATCCAACTGAGCTGATAACTCAGTATATTTAACTAGTTGAGAGCCTGACTACTTACCTGTAGCTGGTTTCAACATTATCAAGAACTTCTTCACCAGCCGTAGCAAAGGAGGACTCTATGCCATTGGTAGGGGTAGAATGGTCATGCTGTTAGATGATTCAGCTCTGTTTACAGAGTGTCTGTGTGTGTGTCTGAGAGGGAGGGCGACTTTGTGCTATGGCTCCACACATGCCACTCTGTTTGCTAGGAACCATATCGCCTGACCTGTCTACTTACCTAGGATGCTCTGGTCACCTGTCACTTGGCAAGCCCTAAGACCTCACTCTTCATGTGCTGCTCTTGCAGTCAGCCCTTGATAGGTGTGGCTCAGGTCTGGAGATGGTAGAACCAAGAGTTCTCTTAGCCACAAAATAATGATCACAAATTTATATCTTATTAGTGAGGATACGATTGGGATGGGATATGGATAGATAGATAGTAGATAGATAGATAGATATAAATATATATTATCACTCACCCTTAGTGTGGAAGAGAACCACAAAATCCAACAGTACCAGTTAAGATACTGGAGTGCATACATAGATACTTAAAATAGGGTTCCTTCCTTGAGTAACTTAAAATCTAATAGAAGAGTTTAGAGAATAATAAAAATAACTATAATATAAGGCAGAATGTGATGTGCAATGTGATTTATATAAAGGGAGAGAGGAATTAGGGGGATAACTCCTGGTCAAGGTACTCAGCGACATCTTTGTGAGAGCAATGGCATTTGAGCTAAGTTTTACAGAAAATACTACTGAATTTTTCAAATCTTAGAATGGGGAATGCTAGTTTAAGTATGACTGGAAATCAAGAAGCATAGGAAAATACTGATAACATCAACTAAAAAAAAAAACGTAAAACTTTTGAATGGTCAAATAAATGTCTTAAGCAAAGCCAAAACAAACAGCAAACTGGAAAACTTATTTGCAATTTTCTTACTATACAAAGAGCACTTAAAAATCAATATATAAAAGATGGCCATCCAATAGGAAAATAGACAAAGAACATAAGCAGATGAAAGGGAAAGAAATAAAAATGGCCAATAAATATGTGAAAATATTCTCACTCTTACTCATAATTTTAAAAATACAAATAAAGCAAGAATGAGACACCAGCTGTTACTTATGAAATGGCAAAGATTTGAAAGTTTGATAATATCTAGTATTGGCAGTTAGGGTGTGGGGAAAAAAGGTACTTTTCTACATTATTGTTGGGAATGCAAATTTGTACAGCTTTTTTGAAGGGCAGCTTGGTACTACCTATCAAATTGTTAAACGTCCATAACTTACAGACATACTGTCATAGAGAGGGTACCCTGGGATACAGACTCTGAGATGGAGATTAGTACCTAGGGAGTTCTCTTAGGTTTAACAACTACGTGAAGCAAGGAAAGGAGAGAAGATTGAACCGAGGGAGAAGTTGGATAGAGATGTAGTCTCAGTGAAGACCTCAGCCAACACACAAGGAGCTCTGACGCTGGGAAGGCCCTTCAGAGTTGTCCCCAGTTGAGGTGAGAGGGCTGGGCCCTTGTATCCCCCACATGAAGTCATTCGAGAAGAGCTGCCCCGAGAAGGAGGTGTGACCTTTAGTGAGGTCACTTTCTTCTGCTGAGGCGATTCCTGAAGAGGGCTGATGGCTGAGGGCAGCCTTCCAGGAGCACTCCCAGCATCCGGGGAATAAGTCCTTCAGTCCTGAAAGGGCTTCTGAGTGGCACATCACAGTGTCCACTAGACAGATTCACACAAGTGGGCAAAGGGAATGAATTGAAGATGCAAGACAAAGGAATGATAATTGGTGGGACAAGGCCCCAGGGCAGGTTGGAAGAAACAAGATCATGAGATAGGTAGACTCATTAGGTTCAGAAAACAAAGAGGACACATCTTCTCTGTACAGAGGAGAAGATAATGGGTCAAAAAAATTGGAGAGCAATTTGGATATGAAGAGGCATTCACATGAGAAAGCCTTCATTTTCTCAATAAAATAAGAGGTAAGGTAGAGTTGAGGGATTAAAGTGAAAAATGTGTTAATTATTGCTATTGGAGTTAACAAATGTTGACTGAAATGAAAGAATTGCTGAAGAGCAATGAGGGCCCTTGAGGTTAGACTAGATGGCCAGGGGCTGCAAACATGTCTGCTTGCATTGCAATGTGCTTCCTTAGCCATCTGTCTTGCAAGCATGGTCAGAACCAGTGGGGCCAGGGATCAATGCCTGGGCCAAAGGCTTCTCAAGAGGGACCAATCCATCCAAGGGGCAGGCGGAACAATTCAACCAGGTGTTTCCTGGGGTGAGTGATAGAACGTGGGATTCCCCATCCCCCCGTCTGGAATGGACTTTTCTTTGGCCAGCTGCAGAGCTGGTCTTAGGTTTACTAGAGCGAACTGAATGAACTATTTCATTGGGGAGCCTCTGATTTGGGGATCTTTATATCGCTTCTCTGGGACTTGTCAGATCCTCCAGGGAAGACACGTCTAGCATCCTGCCTAGAGTGTATAAATCTGGCTGTGTGTGTTCTGAAACTCTGGGAAGAAGATTAAGCCCTTGACGTCCAGTGTGTAACTTACACTGAATCCCTCCGATTTCAGCACTGTATCTTTTTTTCAACTGTGCCTATAAGACCCTCTCCAGAGCATGAGATTCTGGCTTCTGCTGGGTGGGCAGGGCAGCTGCTTCCCAGTGTGGGGTGGGGGATAACTGTTCATTAAACAGAGTGTGAATCAGTCCTCCTATTTTTTATCCCCCCCTTTCTACCCACTTCCATTGGGCCTGAGCCTTGGGGGGTTTCCACTGTGTTAAATGGGCCATTTCTCTGCCTGCCCCACTGCAGACTTAGAGATCAGGTCTGCATTACCACCAGCTCATCTGCTTTATAATCTCCCAAGTTATGTTGCTGTGACTTACTCTCCCATTCTTTCTTCTTGTGGGCGTTTAAACCTTTTAAGAAATCCATTTTATTCCTGCTTAAGTGGGGTCTAGAAGGGAACAGAGCTAAATGCATATATTAAAAATGTAACATCTTTAACTGAAAGTATGGCTTTATCCTTTATATTTAAATGTTTAATTCATCTGGAATTATGTGGTTGCATTATATGAAAAATATGTCTCAATTTTGAATGCTTAGACATTTTCCCCAGCACAACTATTATCGTATACTAAATCAGTGCATAGTCATGCACCACATAATGACATTTCAGTCAACAACGGCCTGCATATATGACAGTGGTCCCATAAGATTGGTACTATATGGCCTAGGTGGGTAGTAGGCTATCCCATCTAGGTGTGTGTGAGTACACTCTGTGATGTTCACACAAAGACAAAATCGCCCTACGATGCATTTCTCAGAACATGTCCCTGTTGTTAAGTAACGCATGACTGTACATGCCTGAATCTTTTTCTAGACATTCTCTTTGGCTCCACTGATATCTTTGGTTAATCCCTAACACGTACCAAACTATTTTAATTATTATGGCCTTAGAATATATTTTAATGTCCAGTAGTCCCTCTACTACCCCCCCAACCTCATTATTTTTATTTCTAAATGTGCTTGTTTGTCTCAAATAGTCTACTAGATTTTAGCAAAATTTCGTCCAATCCCTTCGAATCCTGTTTTAAATCTTAAAATAATTAAAAGAGAATGGACATTCTGACAACATTTAATCCTGTCATCAAGAGTAACAATCTTCCCTACTTTTGTTCGAGTCTTTATGTTCCTCATTAAAATTTTATAGTTTGCTTAATTCAGGTCCTGCATATTTCTTGATAAGCTTATACTTAGATATGTTCTATTTTTCTCGCTATTTTGAACAAGGAGCCTTTTAATTCTCATGTTTCTAAACTGACATATAGGGAACCTAGTGATCTCTTATGTTGTAATCGGATGCCTTACTGAACTTCCTCAGCAGTATAATTATTTTTCTTTTCTTTTGGGTTCCTAAGTAAACCACCCCATGTATTTTTCCAGAATTTATTCTGTTGGTCAATTTTTATCACGTTGGCTGGATAGTTTCAAATTGCTCCTTACTTTAGGCTATCTAGCCACATTTTGGCTACTTACATGCCTTGCAGAGAATTGCTACAGTCACTATGCAGAGAAAGAATCATGAACAGTGTTCGCCCAGCCAGGGCGCCAGCACTATCATAATACACGGCTCTAGCTCTAGCATGTTTTACTTATTAGTTGAGTAGACTCAGTAAATATTGAAGGGATGGTTGGATGGATGGGTAAATTACATTTTCTTGAAAGAGACTGAAGTCTAATATTCCTGCTGTAAATCTGAATCTGCTTTGTGTGTGTATACCTTTCTCATATTTTTATTTAAGAAACGTGATCCACTGATCGGTTTTAAAAAACAAAAAATAAGGGGCCAGCCCAGTGGCATACTGGTTGGGTTCATGTGCTCCACTTTGGTGGCCCAGGGTTCACAGGTTTGGTTCCTGGGTGCAGACTTATGCACCGCTCATCAAGCCATGCTGTGGGAGCATCCCACATACAAAATGAGGAAGATGGGCACAGACGTTAGCTTGGGACCAATCTTCCTCACCAAAAATAAATAAATAAATAAGAAGGTTCAACTAGTAAAAAGGAAAGAGTAAGAATGTAAATTGGAAAATTCTATCTATAGAGGTCATGTTACTTGATAACTGTGTTCTCCCTTCACTCTAGTATATTTTAAATGCCTTATTGTAGAGATTTTGAAAATGAAACTGATTTTTGTAAAATTTAATTCTTTTACCAAAATCATGTTGCCTTTAACAATTATAAAGTAATAATATAAGAAGGAATTACATTATAGATGCATTTCTTACGTGTTTGATGAGGATTATATACAGTTGTGAAAATAATTTTTTAGAGAATGGCCAAGGACAGTGATCTTGCATGTTTTATTTTTAAGTATTCTTCAGGTCATCTATGCATTAAAAAATGAATAAAACCTAGTGCCAATAAATGTTAAATGACCAAGGAAAAATACATTCATTTAATAAATCATCTGTGCTGTTTTTCAGTCCTATTCAGGCAGTCACCAACTGTAGGTCCCCTCAGGGTTCCCACAGGATTCTCTCTAATTCTTGGGTGCAGATGGCACACATTTAGCTATCAAATACAATAAGTGCCACACATTTATGGCCGTGGCAGCCAGCAAAGAGGCCAGCTGTGGCCTTCTAAAATGCACTTGAGTTTTGCCCTGCCAGAGACCCTTCTTCGACTGCCTCTGTCTAAATAGGGCCCCGCCCCCACCCTATGGGTGCATCATGGGAATTATCACATTCTATAATTGCTCTGTTTATGTAATTGTTTGTGTATTCACTACATGCCTCCTCCAGATTAGAATGC